AAAAAAAAAAAAAAAAAAAAAAAAAAAAAAAAAAAAAAAAAAAAAAAGAATAGACAACGAACACTAAGGCACAAGGAGGTTGTATTGGTACAAAGTAAAACATATACTTCTCCTCTATAAAGGACCATTAAGCAAGATAATATCCATGACTCTTAGAAAATGGAAAGCCTTTTTGTGATAGTTCTTTCTGGGGTGGGGGGTTTCTCTAACTCCAGCCCCCTAGGCTTTCATTTTTGTGGCTTCCTTATATTTTCAATATACCAGTTATCCGTTTCTTATATAATATATATATATATATATATATATATATATATTATAAACAGATCTATCACAATTTACAGTATAGTATTTCATGTTATAAACTCAATTTATTTTAGTTCAATTACAATATGTATAATATATTATATTATAAATTACATGATAATGTAAAATAAAAATTATACAAAATTCATAATAAAAAAAACATAAGTTATATAATAATGGTTTATATTCAACCTAATATTTAGTTTTGCAACTAGAACTAGTTTCATGGTCTATATGTATTATAGAACATATTTTGAACATTTGTTTAAACTGAAATCCAATTTCTAAATTTGTTACCAAACACATATTTGAAAGCATGAAATACAACTGAATTTTCATTTAATCCTTATTTTCAAAATTTGATTTTCAGATTGTCTACCAAACAAACAGACACTCTCTTTCAAAATTGAACGAATGTATCTCAAAAATTCAGTTGACTCATAATTTGGGACTCAAGACATGATATTTCATATGAAAAGATTACCTGTAAGAATTGCTTGATCAACACGCAGCTGATTACTAAGCATCTCAATCATTCGCATATCAGCAGGAATTTTGCACCCCACTATTCCACATAAAAATTAAAATGAATTTCTTCTAAATGATAATGAATTATAATTCCTTCATGGAAAATAATTCTTTTGCACTCAGAATGAATAAACTTACCAGCAACTTCTACAATATCACCAGGAACAAGCTCTGTAGCCGGAAGTATTGAAAAGCAACCTGCAAAAGATACTTTGCGGTGAATAGCTGTTCAGAAAAAATGAAGTAGCAGGATTGGCACAAGATTGACATCTAGAATTCATTTTCTCCCCCTTTTGATCGAACTAATTCATTAACATTATGGGAGAAGATAAATAAAATATCCAAACAATAAGTTGTACTGCCTTAAGCATTCAAAAAGGTTTGAAAGAATATGGACACCACAAACCCAAATTTCCCTTTAAATAAACTGATTACCCCGCACATTCATAAAAGACAGAAAAACTATAATGGAGTAGGATTTGAGAAATGATTTATTCATATAAGAAACAAATACGTTTTTTATAAGAAAGTAAGCTTTCGTTAATAGATATAAATATATATATATAATGGCATACAAAATATGAAAATGAAAGAATATACGAGGGCGTACTAAAGTTGAAAAAAACAATATATTTAAAAGATGAAAGAATACAAGAGAGAGAGAGAAATTATAAAAAAAAAAAAAAAAATCCTCCTCAAGCCAAGTCAAGGGCAGTTTCTTAAAAATTTTGTAGTTTCTTGCAAACCAAATCACCCAACTACCTATCAAAAAGCTACATGCATTTTAAGTGAGGAAATCACATTTTTAACATTTTTAATCTATAATTTCAACAAACATATGAAATTCAAATTAGGGGAAATTGCCACCATTAAATAAGTAAAGCTGATTGGTACAATTGATGAAACAGGAATGAATATCATTGTTAATTGAAATATACAAAAACAAAATGAAAAGTTGTTTTGAAAAAGAAAGAGCTTTGGTATACAAAAACAGGCAAGCTGCTTCAAAAGAAACCAAGGGTTTACAAAATAGCTCTACACTTTGCTGTTATTAGAATAATTTCCTTCTTCACATTAAAAAAAGTCTTTTTTTTTTTTTT